CGTCTGGGGCGAGCTGGGGCTGTAAAGTGAGCTTCTTCTTCTTTCTTTTTCTTTTTTTCCTGGGCTTGTCACGCTTGGAGGGTAATAAGCCCACAAGGGCAATCAGAAGTATTAACCTAAACAGGCCCGCGATAATTCTATTACCATTCTATTGCTCTAATAATGAATCCTCAAAACAAAGAATCCTACGGAGTCTGCCTTGGATGGCTTCAGTATAGTCTACGGGGCAGGTTTCGCTGATGGAAGAATGTAAGCGGAGGGTGGAAAGCATCCTGAACCTCCAAGGGGTCTGGTCCTCGTATTGTTGGACCAGTTGCCCTATTATCTAGTCAAGTCTTGCGACTATTTTATTCTAAAGATTCTCTTGAGAATCGAGGCTCTACTTGAACATTGCAAAAAGCAAAATAATGGGAAACATAATGCGTATTGTTCTGTACTGTAAGACATGGGTTTTGGTAGAGATCTTCGTTTCATATGTATGTGTTGTGGGTGATCGTATGTGAAGCGAAATTGTATGTATGTGATTAAAAAACCACGTTATATATATATATATATATATATATATATATATATATATATATATATATATATATATATATATATATATATATATATATATATATATATATATATATATATATATATATATATATATATAATATATATATTCATATATTGTTTGTATAATATAACGTCAAGCAATTTCAGAATGGAGATGCTTCTACAGGTAACAGAAACTAAATAAATGCTACAATTACACAGAAAGCCAGATGACCTAGGATAATACAGGCTTTTCCGGTGTCTGCAACAGGAACAGGTGCTGCTCGAATCAGGTGAGGTGTGTGGCAGAAGAGGAAGGAGTTTTCATTTACGCACCCTTCAATTTTCTTGTTAAACGAGCTACGCTTTTCATTTGCTTAGATGCACAACCGACGTTACGGTCCTATTCTCGGTTTTCGTTGCGCTAGCTGTTATAGTTTTCATTACGATTCTTTCCCACTCCAAAATCCTCCGCAAAGCCGAGTAGCGCCGGCTGCCTCTCTCGAGCGGCTGGCTTCCAATCAGCTTCATGACGGCTTGTTTATGCGCATGCGAGAAAGAATCGTTGTAGTTGTAGGCGAGGAGGTCGAACATGGCGTGCTTCACGGACTGTGAAAGCTGCGCCGGAACCCACCTGCTCTGGCTGCCGCGCCCAAGCAGCATTCCGATCGCGTCGTAAATTTCCACCACGTCATTCTTGAGCGGCGCGACGGGGCTCGAACGCGCGGGATCGGCTTCATCTCGCTTCGCCTCAGGATCGACGGCTGACGCGCGCTCTGTAGTTCTGACCGGAGCGCCAAGCCTTAAATTCGTATCATCCTGAGGAGAGCGAGAAGTTATCCTAGGTTCTTGAAACCGATCTAGCACCTGTTGATCTATAACTTCAGCGACGGCTCTCCTCATCCTCTCCTGTTTACTCACGTAAGTAGGAGACTTTTGGCCACCGAACCAATTGCGCCAGAGCGTTACGACATGCAAAGGGAGGATAAGGGGTTTAAGCTCCTCCGTCACCACCCTTGATGTCACGTAATTGAGCAGGACGCTGAATGCTTGGGCGAGGCTCGAATTCTCTAACAAATTCCGGCCTGCCAGTAGCCTCTGCACCGCCTGACACATGATTCCGTCGAAGGTCTGGATGTCGTAGTCAAACGCCAGGAGCTTCTGGAACGCATCCTAGGCCATGTCCGACAGTAACTTGAGGGACCATTCCCTATTATCCAGGGCGCTGCAGACCCTCTTCATAGCCACGAGAACGGTGTTTTCCAAGTAGCTCGTGAAGCGGTACTTGGCTCTAATCCTTTCCCAAAGAGATGTGGAAGAGTAAGAGATTGGCCTTAGAATAGCAAAATTCTCCTCAACCTTCCTCAACCCCCTGATGGCCAGGTCGAAAGTCTCCGCGTGAGACTTCAGAGACACGTACCTGCAGCCTTTTAATTCTTTGAGCAAACTGATTGCCTCGGTATCCACGATCAGAGCAAAGACATGCTTCAACCATAAGGGCTGTGCAAATACCATAGAAAGTAAAACCACGAAAATAAACCAAAGTACATTTGTCATTGTCTGTTTTTCTTTTGCCCATTTACCTGGATACGAAGGCCACCTCTATGAATTCAAATCCCCGAAACGAGTAGAGCTCACACATTTTCATGCTGGTGCACAAGCTCTCATTTTCATGCTGTGTTGCATAGCTGACTCATTTTCATGCCGTTACATAACTCAGACTCATTCTCATGTTACATAGCTCACAGACTCATTCTCATGTTGCGTTGGAATATGGACAAGGAGTAGCTGTGCTTATAACGTGAGATCAGTGAGCGCTCAAGGATCTTTCTGAGCGCCTGGAAGCGAACAGAGTCCTTGGCAAGAGGCTCGTCTCCTACGAGTTTCCGCAGAGCCTCCCTGAATATATCATCAAAAACTTGCTTCTTCTTGTTATAGGCGAATAATCGGCGAAGAGCCA